AAGGCTTGTACCTTAGTCACATCTGACAAGTCCCTTTTGTCATCTGAGGTCACCTATCACAGGTTCTGGGGTTAGGGTGTGGACCTCGAGTGGGAGTGGGGAATTATTCAGCCTCCCACACCTGGCATGCCACTCTCCTGTACACTTAGACTTGGCTTTGCCTTTCTGCTCTCAGTCTTTGTGTCCATTCTTCTGTCAACTCCCAGAATATTTGCCTTTATATCTCTTCACTTGACCAGCCCCTCTCAAGGGGTTATCAGTCCCTCAAGGAGAGTAATGGGTCTTACTCTTCCTGAATGCCCAGTGTTCTACCGTGTGTTCAGGGACTTGTGAGATGGACCTACAGTACTGCTGTTCAGAATGCAGGCTGGGGGCCCAGCTGCCTGGCCTTGGACCCTAGCTGCTCCATGCACTGGCTCTGATTCTGAAGTGTCCTGTGCACACAGTGGTGATGGCTTGAGCCCAACCCAGAAATGGGCTTTAGATTAAATGGGGTCACACACATGAAAGTTTGAGAAGAGTGCCTGCAGCAGTGAACTTCAAGGGAAGCAGCTGACTTTATCATTGTTGGTTTTATTATTCATCTGTGAAAGGGTTGTGTTTGTGAGTTATTCTTGACAAAATTAAGAAGGGGGAAGCTAAACTCTTTGTYGTTTAATTATCTTCATGTTTAAATATATATTTTCCTCAGTGTTGTTTTCCAAAAGTTTTTGAATGTGTTATACCAAAGGGTTGAAAGTAATAAAGAATTTCCTTGGGGTAACCATGATCCTATACAAGTCTGTGCACTCCTCTGTTTAAGTGGGTAGCAACCACTTTGAAGAAAGCCCTGTGCAGAGTGATGAGTTAACCCTTAGTTCTAGTCTCAGAGATGCTGGAGTTCCAAGAAAGGGTTACGATGTTTGTGACTATGGAATGCATCTGAGTAATTGAATTGATGGGTACTCAGAAGACGACTTCTCTTGGTTGTACCCTTGTATCCTGCTGAAACTTGTGAGCATCTGCCAAGTTCTTTGCACCATTCTAAACCTCCTTGAAGGTACCATGGTATCCCTGTTAGAAGAACTACTAGATTTCACATATGTCTGGTTTTTTCATATCTCAATGTTGCTATTGCCCTGCCCYGCCCCGCCCCGCCCCACCACAGGGTGGAAAGGGTTCTGGGGATTGAACCCAAACCCTTGGGTTCAATCTATCACTGAGCCACATCCTCAGCCTCTACCACTGAGCCACATCCTCAGCCCTTTTTACTTTTTTATTTTGAGACAGAGTCTCTCTAAGTTGCTTATGGCCTTGCTAAGTTGCTGAAGCTGGCCTCAAGTTTGTGATCCTCCTGCCTCAGCCTCCTGAGCCATGCACCACCACACCCAGCACTGTTTGGTGGGTGTGTGTGTGTGTGTGTGTGTGTGTGTATGAGAGAGATTCACGGATTGTGTGAGATATAAAATGTTCAGAAATTTTTGTCTTTTGTTAATTGCTCGTCCTCAAAACAATACCTAACATTATAGGGACAACAGAATCCCATATGCCATTCAAAGAAAGCAGCTCATGGTTGAGAAAAGTTCTGGAGTGTGATATTGTCGCCTATCTATGTTTAAGGAGAACCAAACAAGTTGGTGCTGATGAAGAAATTTTTGAAATGCCTTGTAGCAAGTATTTTCATTGGGAACACGTACTCTGACCAAAGATCATGACTACTTGGTGTACATGAGAATCATATTTTTAGAATGTCATGAAAAATGGAGAAGTCTATGAAAGGCAGTCTAGCTTTAGGAAATAATGCTAGTAGGGATTTTAGATTAAAGAGCTAATAAGATCTGCCTAGGCAGACTGAAGAGAGACAGTTTAGTAGTGAAAAATAAGGTTATCAGACAAGTAAATGGCAGGCTGGAAAATAAAAATGTATCATTTGAATGGCAGGGAGCCATTGCCTGATTTTCAGAAAGCAAGGTATTAAAGTTATCATGCCCTTTGCATCATTTAACTTGAACGTTAAAGGAGTGATCTGAAGTTTGACCAACAATGGGAGGAAAAAATTGTCATAGTCCTGAACAAAGATTAGGGACCAGCTTTTTAATTTATTTCAGAGGTTGAGGTTCAAATGTAAATGAAATATAAAATGAAGAACCAGGCAGCTCTACTAAAAAATTGAATGCAAGTAACAAAGAATAGTTACAGACTAGTTTCTGATCTGTGGAAGGCAGACATACTTCAACCATTGAGAACTTGAGATTTAGGCAGTTTGGGGGCTGGATGGAGATAAACCCAGCTTGGCCACATTGAGTATGGTGAAGTACCTGCRCTGTGTAGTTAAACTAAAGTCAATCAGATGGGGAGAGTACCATCCTCCACAGATGAGACTGAAGCTATAACAAGAGATTTCATGGCTGAACCAGGCAGGAGTTCTGCCCTGCGGCTACCCCAGAGCTCAGTGGCCTCCACTCAGAGACAGGCAACACCCTCTCCAGGAAACACAGAAGATATCTCCCAGGGGCTTGGGAGGCTGAGGCAGGAGGATCTCGAGTTCAAAGCCAGCCTCAGTAATGGCAAGGTGCTAAGCAACTCTGAGACCCTGTCTCTAAAAAAAAAATACAAAAATGAGGACTGGGGATGTGGCTTAGTGGTCAAGTGCCCCTGAGTTCAATTAAAAAAAAAAAAAACCAAAAGCTGAAAAGGAGGAAATGATTCTTACAGATGTGATAGGTCAAGATTTTAGTTTTTTTTTTGTTAATTGGTGCATAAAAATCTTATAGAATAGTGGCTTTGTGTCATATTTCTATGTGCATGTGACATAATTGGATCCATTGCACTCCCAGTTCCTCCTTACTGTCTCCTCCTCCCTCTCCCTGCTACCCTTCCTCTACCAAGTAGTCTTCCTTCTACTTTTATGACATCTGTCTTTTTTTTTTTTCTTTTTTCCTTTTTTCCCCTCTGGCTTTCACATATGAGAGAAAACATTGAATTTTTGTCTCTCTGAGTCTGGCTTATTTCACCTTAATGTGATATTCTCCGGTTCCATCCATTTTCCTAAAAATGCCATAATTTCATTCTTTACAGCTGAATAAAACTCCATTGTCTATATGTACCATCTTTTCTCTACCCGGTTACCTGTTAATGGGTACCGGACTGATTCCTTAACTTGGCAGTTATGAATTGTGCTGCAGTAAACCTGAGTATGCACAGATGTCTGAAGTATGCTAATTTTAATTCTGAACAAATACTGAGTCGTGGTATGTCACATGGTACTTCTATTTAGTTTTTGAAGATTTCAGTCTCTTAAAAGTCTATAGTCATGCCTGTTGCTATGAGGAAACAAGTGCAGCCCGAGAGGAAGGTAAGAGAGGTGTAGCCCTCTAGTCCTGGCCACCTGAGATGGGGCTGGCACCAGGAAGCAGCTCCTGATGGAACATGTGAGTGAGCAGCAGAGACTCCTGTGATGTGCCCTGGCTCCTTCCTCAGTGGAATTCCAGAGGTCAGAGTGATGGAGGGACACAATGGAGTCTACTTACTGCTTGTTAGCTCGAGTAGGGAGAGGTTGAAGCTGGTGGCTGAGCAGGAGAAGGCAGCGGGATGCTGGATGTAGCATAGCCAGCCCGCCCTAGTTGAGCCACTTTCCTCAGGCCCTATATGCCACAACCTTGGTACAGGTGAAGACCCAAGTCTCCTCTAATCTTGACTCTTTACCTACACCTGAGTGGTACTTGTCTCGTTGTGCTTCAGGAAGTATTGGGATTATAGTAGCTTGTGGGCAGTGCAAGTTAGAGTTCTAGGATAGCAAGGGGGAGAGCAGTGAGGGAGATGCCCCTATTCCATAAGAGGAGCCACAGCAAGGTCCCTGCCTTCAGTAGCCTTCGGTTCTTAAGAGTGAGTTAGACATTGAACAGGTTAATTTTTTTAAAAAGAAAACGAACAAGCTGATGAGACATTATAGTCAGTACTCTGAAGATGAAATGACTATATTCATATAATGATGATGTGTTGGGAAACAGGCAGCTAGAAGGCTGCCCGGTTTGGGTGGGTGGCCCAGGTTTCTGAGGTCATTGACATTTGAGCAAGAGACCTAGGGAATAAGGAGCATCTGGCCAGGGGAGAACCCATGGGAGAACATCCAAAGAAGAGGGGCTGTTGTGGAGGGTAAAGCCAGGTTTGAGACTGGGGAGGGGAGGCCCACCTGATAACTGCGGGGGCCCAAGTCCACTATGCCAGGATGGGGAACTAGGGCAGCAGTGATGAACAAACCAAGGGAGAAGCACCTCTGACTCGGCCAGGGTCAGAAGAGGGGAGCACTCAGCCAGCAGAGTTTCACCTGTTCTTGACCTAGGAATATTGACGTGGGAGCTTTAGGAAGCCATATTCCTTAATCTTTATTTCTAGAAAAAGCTGGAATGTGCTTGTACCTGAAGAGGAGGATGGTGGGAAATGGCAAAGCTGTTAGCAGACCTAAGAATGTGATATACACATGCACAAGGCCCTCTTGGGTTCAATCGCCAACACCACCAAAAAAAAAAAAAAGAAAAAAAAGAGTATGTTATAATTGCTGTATGCAGCGGGAGAAGGCCTAAAAGGCACCATGTGACACAGGGTGAAATCTCCATGCTGACCCACAAGGACTGTGATTCTCCTCCAGCAAGGGAGGCACCCTGCCACCTAACAGAAGTCGTAGACAGAGAGGTTGGTGGGGCTTTTCTGCATAGTTGAATCAAGATGCACAGGATTGCTAAAGAACTGGGAGTGTGGGTGAGTGGTGCCAGTGAGAAGAAGATGGAAAGCCGACAGACAGAGAAGTGGGCAAAGACTTAAGAAGACAGCTGTGAACACAAGAAGGCCTGAGAGAAGCCTGGAAGCAGGCGTGGCAGGTGCGAGGCAGGAGTGCTGAAGGGTCCAGAGTCAGAGAGGGTTTAACTCTTCAGATACTTTGATGACCTCAGAAATGCTGTTTTGTCTGGATCCTGGWTCAGTGATAAGTCTGCTTTCATTAAAAGGAAATGGTTTCTCTCTTCGCCTTTTTTCGGCCATTGTGGTGCGAGCCCCGAATCAGGTCCCTCACCATGTCTTCTCACAAGACTTTCAGGATCAAGCGATTTTTGGCCAAGAAACAAAAGCAAAATCGTCCCATTCCCCAGTGGATTCGAATGAAAACTGGTAATAAAATCAGGTACAATTCCAAGAGGAGACACTGGAGGAGAACCAAGCTGGGTCTATAAGGAATGACGTGAAATGGCACACATATTTATCAAAGCTAKGATCATTTTGTCACATCCACCTGAAAATGTCTGCCCTATCTGGATAGTGTCACAGAAGCTGTAGTACTGGTTTGGGTTGGTTTGCTAATAAATATGTGAAACATTTGAAAAAAATAAAAAATAAAAGGAAATGGTTGGCAGGCAGGATGAGCTCCAGCAAGTTCTAAACCTGTGGTGAGACATTGCCTTTTACTTTTACTGCCTCTGCCATTGCCAGCTTTTGATCTACGTGAAGCACACTTCTCTTGTCCTTTGAGCAGTCAGAATGGATGTATTAGTTGCCGTAGTTCTGTGAACAGGCTTCTTTCTGTTGGGTGCCTGTGGTCACTCTTCAGTGTTACACCACAGCCATAATTGATGGACAGTTGAGTTGCAAGCTTTTAGGACTAATTGCAAACCAAACTAAAACATTTTCTGGAACCACGTTTAAATAATAATGATAATACCTTGTATAGATACAGTGCTTTACAATTTACAAAACACTTTCACATACATCAGCTTATTTAATCTTCACAATAAACAATGCTTTTTGAATGCTTAGATCTTTCCTAAGTGAGAAATCACTTTGCACATCCTGATTTAATTAGAGTGAGTCACCAGAAGTTGTTGGTACAATAACCATCTCTTAAGTATCTTCTATGTACAAAGTACTTCACTAAGGATACCAAGGGGTAAATTTTCAGCAAATAAATATCTAATAAAAAGTACCTGTCCAATATATGTGATTTTGCCTCCTGATTCACTCACTCCTTATAGTCACTCCTTTGCCATAAATGCATGAAAATATTGCCAGAAACTCCTTATATCATATTTGAAAGCTTTAAAACTAAGGATTCTGGTACTCACCTAAGCTCAGTGATTCTTCCAAAAGTCATTCTATTTCAACTTTCGGTTTCTTGAAGATTATCCATTACTTAAATCTCTACAAAAACATTTGAAGCTCCCAGCATGTTTGAAGATGCTTGACCATTGAGTTCATTGTCTTGCTTGGAGTGATTAGGTTTGATTCAAGAGTACAACTTCGCTCTTGCCCCCAGCAAGTTTATTATCCACTAGAAAAGAAGAAAGACATGGTCATTGTGTTAGGTTTTCCTCACTGTGGCCAAAATACCCTACAGGAACAACTTAGAAGAGGAAGAGTTTATTTTGGCTCACAGTTTCAGAGGTTCAGTTCATGGTCATTTATCTCCATTACTCTGGGCCCAAGGTGAGATAGAAGATCATGGCAAAGAGTGTAGCAGGGGAAAGCTGTTCCCTGTGTGGCAGCCAGGAAGCAGAGAGTGAATGGGAGGAGCCAGGAACAAAATACAAAATCTCCCAAAGCATGCTCCCAGTGACCCACTTCCTCCAGCCACACTCCACCTGCCTACAAATTGCTACCCAGTAATCCCTTCAGATTTTCAGTACATCAAATGGGTCAGTCTGTTGAGTAGGTTATGGCTATCATTTCAACTCCTGCTTTAGTGCAGGAACTTTTCAGGGATACATCATACTTAAAACAGTCATCTCTAGGTTCTATAAATCAGACTGGGAGGCTGCCCTCTAGGTGAAGTGGAGGGCAAAAGATAGTATTAGTCAGGCCCACTCACAGGGCAGGACCTGTGACCCCAGGCCTCCGGAGTGTCCAAGAACTTGCTTTGGGCTACCATGGCTCTTCAGAAAAGAAAGGCTTTGCATCTTATCTTACTCCAGATACTCCAAAAGTGCAGGATCCCCAAAATAATAGGGTCCCTGCCTTCAGAACCCCTTGGACAGAGTGCCTTCCTCAGCACAAACAGTATGATCTACAAACTGATTCCTTCCTGCACCAAGAGCTGGTTGAAACTTGTGGGCTACTGTGGCATCTCAGCTGAGAAGCCTGTTGTGCTATTGACACCCAGGTGTCATAAGGGATGCTGAGGGTGAATCAGATCGCCTTGGCAACAACTGTTGTTTCTTCAATCCTCTTTCAACTCCTTGTTTGGCTTCTTAATTTTATTAACTTCAACATTATAGTAGTTCTCAGTAGTTTATGTGAGCGTGTAGTTTGGGATTTGGGGGAGGATAAACCCAAACTTTTTGGTTTTTCTTTTTTTTTTTTTAACTCATTTCCTGGACATACTGGTTTTTAGAAAGTTTTCTTATGGTAACATCTTGAATAACATTTTCTCTGTTTTGCAAGGGAGGCTAATGATCTGGAGCTTAAGCAATCAAAAGTCTTAAGAACTCTTCCTTCTTTGTGTTGGGCAGAAGTGCCTAATACTTTATTTTATTTGAGCAGAGAATATGCAGCCAGCATCTGAACATCCCGTAAATACTTGGGAGAGGAACACAGTTAGGATATAGTGTAGAGCTGGGAGTTGGAGCTTTAAGTCTAAGTGATGTTTCCAACTGGGGCTGGAAACGTGCTTTAAATAATTGTATTCTGATCATTTAGGTCTCTCTTTATAGGGCATCTTTTATGACCAAGACTGTCCAGTACCAAAATGAGCTACATAAATTCCTAATCTGGGATACAGCTGGACAAGAACGAGTAAGTCACTCTTTAATTTACTATGTGTTTTTCTGAGGCCCAAACCAAATTAGAGCACCAACTAAACTGTCACCGTTCCTGTCATTTCACGTTACTCACTTCTCTTCTATGCGCCAGAGACACATTTATTTCCATTTGTGGAGGCCAGCCTTTTTCTTTTCAATTAGAGTCACAAAGTCCGCTGATGGAGAAAGTGATAATGGGCACTGAGGGCATTTTTATATTTTTTAGTGTCTTAAAGTAAATGCTGACTAACAGGCTGATAAAATCTCACTTGAGCATTGTGTGTAATTTGGGGCTCCATCCTCTAGTAGAGATGTAAAAGAATTAGTGGTAGAAAGGGAGAGTTAAGCACAACTCATTTATAGCTGCCTTTTAAAAAGCTAAAGAGGGAACTTTACAGCATATAAAGTTTGAGATTTAAGTGAAATGGATGAGCTAACACAGTGCCTTGCAGTAGGTACTTAATAAATGCCTGGTAATAAAATTGGCCACAGTAGTTATCTGCCTAAGGAAGAGCCTAAACCAAACTGGGGCCAGCCACAGCAGCACAGGGCCAGGTGGGATTTGGGGAAGCCCACCAAGTCAGAAGAGGGTGGGAATGGGGCAGGCACAGGTACTATCTATCTCCCCTCCCCTCCGGGCACTGACTTCAGTTTGTTGTCATGGTGCCTGTGTCTGCCCCATTATTCAGCAGACGTTTAATTTTGTTTTCAAACAGTACTATCAAACCTGCATCAGATGGATGCACGGTGCTATCTTAAGCTCTTAGAAGTACACCAGAAGTAATCAGGAAAAATAGTGTGTCATCACCGTCTTATCTAAGACAACGTAGATACTGTGTATGGCATAAAATCTGACAAGAATCATCGCAGACAAATGGAGGAAAACAAAACAAGCCATTACCGTTGTCCTAGATGTAGACACTATACATTTGTACAGATTTAATGTTTTAAGTTCACTTTGTTTGGTTTCTTCTGTTTTTAATGCTGGATGTCTTGCTACCATCCAATTACTCATCTGAGATGTGTCTGCTTATGGTTTTCTTTTCCCCTCTCCTGTTATGCTGGTGTTGTGCATCTAGAATGAGACATTTAAAATAGCTAGACCTTTGCTAACCATCACTCTTCTGTCCTTCAGAAGTGGTTCTTACCACAGAGTCTGCCCGCATTTATCTATACACACAGCCATGGGATTTGTCCTATCAGCCCCAAACTGGTGGGGCTCTTCCTACCAATAAAACACACTCCCTTCCCCTGGATCCCCAGGTTCAGCTACCCCTCACAAATACAGATGGTACAGCAAAGCCATCATCATAAAGAACCCTGCTATAGTACAGATCCCATTATGCTCTCTTCAGAGCCTGTCCTGGTATACACAATGATGTATAGCATCTCTTTTTTTCTGGAACATGAAAAAAGAAATAACCCAAGGGCACATGGCTCTCCCTTTCTGCTGGCATGATTGCAGGGGTCTTTGAAGTTTTGTAATTAGCCAGCTTGCCTGCCTTTTGTGTGCCTCCTTCTCATTAGTTCTTCAACAGGAATAGCTGCTCTCAGATGTGAACCTGCCTCCACTACGCAGAGTACCTCATGCAGCCCAGAGCTGGAGAGGAGGTGTTCATGAGGAAGCGGCCAAGAGAGGAGAACCCCCAGGGAGCACTGGCAAAAGCACATGTCCATGGTTGCCAGATTGCAGAGCTTAAGAAAAAGCTAAACATGGGACATATCATCAAAGTATAGGGAAGATCAGGCAGGACGTAGCYGTGAGCCTGGTCAGGGTCAAGGACTGACTGACTGTCCTGGGAAGGCCTTCTGGTCTCTGAATATACCAGCCACTGCCAGACTCTCTATCTCTTCCACCAACCTGGCCTCTAGCACTGAACTGCTTATAGTTTTCCAACATGCCATCCTGTTTATATCCTCTTACCCTTCTTCTTAGGTTTTCTCTGGAAAACTTTYTTCAGCCTTCAGAACCCACCTCTGATGTCATTTGACTAAAGGAGGCTTTCCTAAGCACTCCTGGTGGTCTCGAATGAGTAACCACTTTGCCATATCCCATTGTTGCTCAAACCCAAATCTGGATGTTGTCTTGGACTCCTCGCCAGCTCCCCACACTGCTCTAGGAGCATGTGCAGACAGCTCCCTTGTCTAAATAACTTTCTTCATTTCTACTCTCATCACCCTGCTCTTAGACACCTTTTACTCTGACTTGAGTATTCCATAGTCTTCTAACTGGTCTCCCTGCTTTCCTCCAGCCCAGACCTGACCCATGCCACTTCTCACAGGACCTAGAGTCCTTTAGAAATGAAATCGGACTCTCGTATTTTCCTGCTAATACCCTTCAGCAGCCGATTATTGCTCCTCTCCTCTGCCCACATGCTCTGCTCCTCCAATCTGCTTAGTGTCCTTCCAGCCCATCCTCCTCCTCTCCCACTGAATTCCAGCCCACTGCCCTTCGTTAGGTCCTTGAGCACCCGATGTCATCAGGCCTTCATGTACATTGGTCCTTCTTACTGGAATTCTCTCTCTCCTCTGCCAATAGGCTCCCTTTACGAGCTCTTGATCTCAGGTTAAATGTCATACCCTTAGAATTTTCCCTGAATCCACCCCTTCACCCCTTGCATCTAAGCACAGCTCCCATTTATTTCCCATTATTGCCAGTATTCATTTTCCTCAAGACATTTGTTAAAAGTTATAGTTCAATGTCTGTCTGTCTGTCTAGCTTTTATTGACAGTCTCTCCTTGCAAACAGTAAACACTGAGAGCTGAGAGCACAGTGTCTTGCTTGTCCTGTATTCCCAGCCTCCATCCATGGCCTGATGTAGAGCTCATGTGCAGAGCCTGGTTGGACGGAGCAGCAGATGAACTCTTACATCCTGAGCAGGCTTCAGTTGCCCTCATCCATGCCATCAGTACCTGTTCCTTACTGTCATGTCTTCCATTGGACAGTGAGCTCCTTGGGAGCAGGACAGTCCTCATGTCTCTGCTCTCAGCTCCTAGCACATGGTGTTGGTGACAATAAACGTCAGCTGCTTGCTAACCCTCCTTAGGCATACACAGATAAGGACAGACCTTCTACTACTTTCACCATGTGAGTAGTGCATGCCTGGAATGATGCTTTTTCTGGTGTTTGCATGTGTATTGTTTGGTTCACTATAGTTTAAAGATTCTCAATGGAAACAAAAATGGTTATAAAATGAAAACTTTCTGATCAACTAACTAATTGTATAGCCTCCCCATTTGAGTCTAGCATCTATCCTGTTGCCACACATTTTGACAGTGTGTTGTCTTTCTGTTGATCAGGTTATGGATGATTACAAAGTGATTAAACTGGTGAAAGTTATTTTGGAGAATTTTTAAAATCTTATGTGAATCATTGACGATTGGGATCTTGTTAAATGAAGAGAAAAATACCTGTCAGGTTGCTGGTATAGCACTTCAGATGACAGTGAGTTCAGAGGGACTTACAGACAATTCTTGGAGGCCACAAATATCTTGTAAAACTTACTATTTTTATAAGACTGTGTGATCAAATATGAAATGAAGGATATCATATTGTGCTAGCATATAGTTTAATCAGAACAGTCATAACCAAATTATCAGTTAACTGTGATTCAGTGTTCATCCAAAAAACTCAGCTCCTGACTGTTAAAATATGGCTACAGCTCAGTGGCAGAGCACTTGCCTAGCATGTGTGAGGCTCTGGGCTCATTTGTCAGCACCACATTTAAGCAAATAAGTAAAGGTCCATCAATAACTAATAAAAATATTTTTAAAAATAAGGCAAATATTTTTCAACTACCAGGTAAAATGAGACTTATTTTCCTAAATTTAAACTTATTTCCTCAAGATGACCTCTGTGAGTCCTTTTTGTCCCTGTTATTTGCAATCTGAGTGAATTCATTTTGTCACATTTTCCCACCAATTATCCTTCACTAACAAAAACTCCTGTAGTAGTGTGGAGACAAACACAGCACATGAGCACCATGAGTGCATCCCATTATTACACCATCAGTGTAGAAAAACACTTCAAATGCTTTCCATCTGCATGTGATGATGTAGAAGAAAGCTGTTTAGCAGAATCTAGCAGACCCTACATCCAGATCCTAAACATTTACATCCCTACTTGTTGTGGTTCTCCTGATGGCTTTTTCCACGGGTCAGAACACCAGGAAAGCACACAGTTATTATCACCATAGTCTTGTAAAGAATTGTTCTTATGTTAAAAGTCAGGAACTTAATGACTTAAGGTCATCTAGAACTGGAGTAAAAGACTATGKCCTATGGGCCAAATCCAACCTGTTGCCTGTTTTTGTAAGTAAACTTTTTATTGGAATATAACCATGCTGGTTTCCATGGCTGTTTTCATTATATRGTAATAGAGATGAGTGGTTGTGACAAAACTCAAATGGTCCACAAAGCTGTAATATTCTTGGCCCTTGCCTTAAAAAGTTTGCTATCTCCTGATTTAGAGCCACATTTGGAGCACAGATGTGCTAATGTCTTTTGAGTTTCTTTATGTGCTTCCATCTTTTTTCTTTACATCAAAATGATATGGAAAGAGTTTCAACATGACAGAAGAGTACCCTATAATAGACTAACCTTCCCAGATACAACAATTTATATACAAACTCTGGATAAAACTTTTAAAATGTATTGCAGAGCAACCAGATGCAGCCAGGGACTGAACAAAAGAGCTATGATGGGCATGGTCCACATTGTCACAGCTTTTCCTAGTTAACACTCCTCAGACCATATGGCAACTAGGATTCAAGCAGAAAGCCTGTCTTTTTAGCTTATGACACCTGTGAGTAGTGTTGAGGACTGCAAGAACAGCTGGGAAAAGAGGATACAAATCCCACAAAAATGGTCCCAGCAAGGAGGGAAGCCCCAAAGTCTGTTTGTAAGTTTTCCTCAAGTCTTTAGTTGACCATCCAAGTTGTGAATATACAGAGGAGACATTACCAAACCCAGAAGAGACCAACAGCTAGAAGAGTGACTAGAACAGAGCAGAGACTGCCATTACAGCAGAACTGGAGTCTGGAGTTTGAACCCAGTCCTGCCATGTTAGAGGGGAGGGGTAAGCACCTCGGGCATCCCATTGAAACTTCCAAAGGGCAGTGCCTCAGCAGTGGAGAACAGGTCCTGCAACTCAGGGGGTCCTTGATGGCCTTACACAAAGTTAAGGTGGCCTGTCTCACAGTGGCTAGCCAGTAATTTAACACTCTGCAAAGAAGAAAACAAAAACTAGTTTTCTTAAGTGTATCATCCATGCAGTCCAGTATACAGTCAGAATGATTATACATACAGAGAAGGAGAAGAGGACACAGGGAGGAAAACAACTCCCCACCCATTATTAGAATTTGCAGATACAGAATTTAAAGCACACATTTTAAGTATGTTCAAAGATTTAAAGAAAAGTAGTCTTAACTACTTAACTGCAGAAGAGAAATCTCACTCTTAATGAAAAAGAATCAAATGGGAATGCTAAAACTGAAAGGTACATTTCATTTTTATTTAAGGTGAAGAATTCACTGGATAAGTGATAGAACAAATTAATCAGAGGAACAGAGTAGAAAAAGGTGAACAATACTTATTGAGACAAATTCAAATAGCCTAACATAGGTATAATTGAGACCCAGAAGAAGCAAAGAAAGAGAGAGGTTCGGGGGGAAAAGAGACTCAAAAAAGAATGCCTAAAATATTCCCAGATCCAGTGAAACCCCATCTCACAAAACCAAGAAGTTCAGCAAACATGTAAGTACAACAAAAAAACACATTTAGATACATACATCATGAATCAAACTGCTGAAACCAGAAATAGAATCTCAAAAGCAGCCACAGATGAAAGATACATTATATATGAGGGAACAGTTTGAATGATGGCTGTCTTCTTACAGAAACAGTGATGACCAGAAGTCAGTGGGACAGTATCTCTACCATGCCAAAAATACCTGTCAAATATGAAGTCAAAATAGGATGCTATTAGAAAAGCAAAAACAATTCAGCAGCAGTTCACAGAAAGTTTTTCAGGCTAAAGTGAAATGACTTTGGTAAATAAATGGTAAATAAGATCCACAGGAAGAAATAAGCAGCCTTGGGATATAGTAAATATGAGAATCTCTCATTGTTTCTTCTCAACTTTAAAAGAAAACTGGCCATTTAATTTAAAAATTATGATATTGGATTGTGGAATTTAATAGATTTTAAATATTTGACAACAGCGCAAAGAATGTGGGATAAAAAGCATTCGATGCTTGGATGGTTCTTACATTTTATATGAAGTGATAACATTTTAAACTCTTAAGTACACTAGAAAAAAATGTATATTGTGGTTACAAGAACAGCCACTTAAAAAGTGATGTAAGATAATATCACTGCATCCAATCCAAAGAGAAGAGTAAAGGAAGGACAAAGGAATTTAGAAAGAAATGGAACACACATAAAAAAAAGTAGTGGACCGAGACCCAAGCACATCAGTAGGTGCATTGAACGTAAAGGACCATTGCACTTGGAAGGCAGAGGTGGGCAGATGTGCCGAAAGGCGGGACCGGACTGTGTGCTGGTTAAAGATTGTTCATGAATACAAAGAAAGGTTGAAAACAAGAGAATGGAAATGATATTCTATGCAAATCATAGAAGACAGCTACTGTGCTCAAGTTCATAGTAGGAAGTAGGCTCAGAGACAAAGATTATGTCAAGGTTAAACAGGGACATTAAATTTCACATTTGCTATCCTGGTGGATGGCTTCTTTTTTTATATATATTTATTTTTTTAGTTCTCGGCGGACACAACATCTTTATTTTTTATTTTTATGTGGTGCTAAGGATCGAACCCAGCACCCCGCGCATGCCAGGCGAGCGCGCTGCCTCTTGAGCCACATCCCCAGCCCCGTGGTGGATGGTTTCTATGGATGTGTACGTCCATCACTTATCAGTTGCACAGCTAAGGACTTTGCCTTACTCATGTGAATTTTACCTTACAGTTTTGAACAAAGAAAAAGAAAGAACCCTGTAAAGGATGTTGCCAACATAAGCATATCAGAAATGAAAACTAATACCATAACCCTTTCTTCCACCTGTGTGCTGTGTATGCTGTGGAAGTCAGTCCGACATTTAAAATCTTTTTTACCTAATGTAGTTTCTTCCCCTCCCCCTCATGTGTGGTCCTAGGAATTGAACCCAGGAACACTCTACCATGAGCTACACCACAGCCCTTTTTATTTTTCATTTTGAGTCAGGATCTCACTCAGTTGCCAAGACTGGCTTTGAACTCTGTGATCCTCCTGCCTCAGCCTCCCAAGTAGCTGGAATGACAGGTGTGGCCATTGCACACAGATATAGTTCCTTTTTCTGCATTGTTTTCTTAACTTACAACTTTTATTTTTGTTTTCTTCTAAAACTTACCATTTTGTTGGAAGTAGGCTTTCACCCAGGCAGACCTTTTACTCACAGAGATTAGTGAACATTTCTGTCTGTGGACATACAGATCTGGCATTTAGTTTGACATCCCCACATTACAGTTCTTCATTTGCTCACCAGTTCTTGATTACCTCAGGTGCTAGGCCCTGAGATGAAATGGAGTTCAAAACACTGATGCTATCTTCCCTCGTAGAGCTTATAGTCATATTTTTCTCTTTCTTTTGTAAAACTCAAAGTAACATGAAAGTTTAAAAGCCAAAAGATTATGGGCTGGGTTTGTGGCTCATCGGCAGAGGGCTYGCCTAGCACGTGCAAGGCGCTGGGTTCCATCCTCAGCACCACATGAAAATAAATAAAATAAAGGTGTTGTGTCCAACTACAACTAAGGGGAAATTTTTTTTTTTAAAAAAGCCAAAAAATTAAACTAACTGATAGGAAGTTAGAGTCCAGACTATCACTGTGGCCCAAGTAACTGAGGCAGGAGGATCGCACATTGGAGGCCAGCCTCAGCAACTTAGCAAGGCTCTGTCTCAAAAAATAAAAAAGGGGTAAGGATATAGCTCAGTGGTTGAGCACCCTTGGTTCAAAACCCAGGGTCACAAGAAAAGAAGTTGCAATGTGCACAGTTCTGTGTGTATGCTGCGTATGCACCAGTGCTCCCCCATGAAGCTATTCCTGCCATATTTGGTATAAGCTGCCAGAAACAGCAGGATACAGTACATAACATGACATCATACAGTTCAGCCTTCAAAGTTGAAGTGTGAAGGTAAAAGTCTAGTCTGTTAACTTTGGCCTCACATTCTGTGGATGATGCTTTCACGAGGACATTTGCTCAGGAACCAGATTTTGACTGGGGAAAGTACTTCATGTTTCCTGTTTGGCATTCATCAAAAAAAGGGCTCACTAAACCACCGTAGCTGTGGAAGTGGTTACTCCTCCTCATTTCTTCTCATCCTTATTGTGCTCAGTGGAGGGGAGGTGGAAATGAAATGAGACATGTACCCTGCATTTGGGAATCGCCACATGGATTAAGATATCAAGAAAGCATGTTGCAGACTCATTCGAGTAGTGAATTTAAATGTGTAACCTTGTCTAGGACAATCAGCATCTGGATTACAGGGTGATCTCTGAGACACTCCAATGCAGCACTTCTCTGGAGAACTGTTCACAGCATTATTTTTATCTCCCTGATAGTTTGGAAAGCCAAAGTTTAAAGGACTATTGAACAAATGAATTTGGGAATTACAACATTGAGTTCAATTAAAAAGCCTTTTTAGCTGAATCAATTGTTTATAGCACCATATTTAATTCCTATAAAACTGTATTCTAAACTTTCTTCTAAGAGACATTTCAGTGATAACATTAAAAGTTTTCGCCTTTGGTAATTACTGGTTCATTTGCTTTAAAACATGATGTCATCTTTGGCTTCAGAGAAAGATTACCTTTTGTACAGGGATAATGGACTTTGAAGTCTAATTTTAAAAAAAAATATTTAACCAGTTTTTCCAATGTTGTTGTTTATTTCCCTCTGCAGTTTCGTGCCTTAGCACCAATGTACTATCGAGGCTCAGCTGCAGCTATAATCGTTTACGATATCACAAAAGAAGTAAGACCATATTCAGTTTTCCTTAGAATATTTTGGAGATTCTTAGTTGCTTAGATCTCCAGTTTCTTCCTTTGTATTACAGGAGACATTTTCAACATTGAAGAACTGGGTAAAAGAGCTTCGACAGCATGGCCCACCTAATATTGTAGTTGCCATTGCAGGAAATAAGTGTGATCTTATCGATGTCAGGTAAGTTATTAGACAAAGAGATTGCACTGCTGATTATGTGTTCCTGTTCTTAATGAGCAATATCCAGTGTAAAAATCTTGGTGTGTGTGTGTTTTTGTTTTTTTTAAATCTTTGACATTGAAAAATTCCTTTTTGTTATATGGTCTGAGTCCTGAAATTTCAAACTAAAATTATAATTTCAGGCATTTGGAGCAAATCATATTATGTCTATAGACAGGTGTGTAATTTACTTGAACATTGGTCACATCGCAGTTGGCATTATCTGAGATCAGTGCAGCCCCCAAGCTCTTGTGTTACAGAACTGAATAAGGAAAGCACATTTATTAGAATTTTCTCTCTACCGTTTCCATAATTCCCAAGGCAGGTTTTTTTTATTTTTATTTTGGGGGTGGGAGTAGAAAACCTTGCCCTAATCATTCCATTAGCTATGTTGTTAGTGGTGCTGGGTTTTGTTTGTTTAAACACAGAAGTGGTATAATTGGGAAGACCGAGTGTTGGGGTTCACAGAGCCATTCAGAACACTCTCTGTCATCAGTAATCTGGTTAATTACTGGGTAGGTGGGGGTAACATAAGCTCTTAATGGGTAGAAGTTCTGATTTGCAATTGTTGCCTTACAGAGAAGTCATGGAGAGAGATGCTAAGGACTACGCTGACTCCATTCATGCGATTTTTGTAGAGACCAGCGCAAAAAATGCGATAAACATAAATGAGCTCTTTATAGAAATTAGTGAGTATCTCTGTGCTTATGGGTTTCCTCTGTGCAGAACAACTTCAGAAAGAATTATCTTCCTGGTTAGAATTCCCATCGTATTTTGAGTAGTCTAGTCTCTGGTGCTGTCGTCAGTGAAATGAGATTTGAGAGTACAAGAGGAACGGCCAGCTTTCCTCTCAAGGTGTGATTGCTGGAGAGCTGCTGCCTGATGACTGTGGCTCTTCTGGAAATAATGTTGCTACTGAATAAGTAATGCACAGGGCATGAGGTCACAGAAGCTATAGTCTCCCTCTTTCTTTATTTAAATGTATTTCAATTAGTCATCCAAGGTCATCAAAAATGAGCAAAATAAATAAAAGGAAATAAAATGCAGATATAATTACCCTGTAAGAAAATCCTCAAAAATTAGTAGTAAGCAGGGGAGAGGTATGGAGATCTTTTTCCTACCCTCCCCTTTCCCTTCCAGAGTGTTGCATGATGACACTAGATGGGAGAGAGGCTGCTGCATGCCTTTGGGATCCCCTACAGATTGTATCTATGTTTATTCATTTCATTCAAATTCATCAAAATATTTATTGGAAACTGTTCCAGGCTCTGGGGAGAGAGCCTGAAGAAGATAGACACAGCCCTTGCTCTCTCAGAGCGCACGTTCTGCCGAGGGAGACAGAAAGTGAACACCAGATAAATAGGATCATTTCAGATCATAATAAGAGACATGAAGAAAATAATTTACGGGGGGAGGTGGCAAGGGGGTGGGAAAGACGGTGGAATGAGACGGGCATCATTACCCTAGGTACATATGTGATTGCACAAATGATGTGACTCTATTTCATGTACAACCAGAGAATTGAAAAATTCTGCTCCATTTATGTACAATGCATCGAAGAGCTTTCTACTGTCATGTATAACTGATTAGAACTAATTTTTGAAAAAAGAAAAAATGATTTAGGATGAAGTGAAAAAGTACCTGCAGGTGATCAGGGAAGGCCTCTCTGAGGAGGTGATACCAGCTGAGGTCAAGCAGAGCAGACCCTCTCGAGATGCGGGAGTTCACATTGACATGGCAGGCGCCAGGGAGGTGCAGGAGTCAGCCCTGCAAGGTCAATGCATTAAGGCCCACCCTCTGATTAAGATCTGAGACAGCTAGAACTGGAAAGGTTCTTAGCTTCTGTGAAGAAGGATTGTGAACTCCAGTGCCCACCAAGGCCACGTGGAGCAGTGTCCCGGGAAGCCCTGGGGTTTGGGCCCAGCTCCAGCAACTGGAGTTAAGCTGGAGTATGAGCCTCTTGGTGCCCAGTTGCGGAGGTGGTTTTCAAGGTTTTTTATGGTTTACTTTTGTTTTGCTTTTATGTTGCTATCTATAATTTGCTCAGAGATCTGGATTTTTATGTAATGTGTCCCATTGTTTAGATCTGGCCGTTTACACTAAGCACAGTGTCATGCGCCTATAATCCCAGCAATTTGGGAGGCTGAAGCAGAAGGATGGCAAGTTCAAGGCCAGCCTGAATAACCTGGCAAGATCCTGTCTCAAAATTTTAAAAGGGCTGGAATGTAGTTCAGTGGGAAAATGCCCCTGGGATCAACCCCCAGTATAGCCAAAAAAAAAGAAGACGAGGGTTGTGAACTGTATCAACAGTGTGATTGGGAGTGTGGTTCAGGCAGAGCAATTGCTTGCCATGACTGAGGTCTTGGGTTCTATTATCAGCGTCCCCAAAAAAACGATTCACAAAGATTAGAAAAATTGTCATAGGTAGAAATCAGGTTTATTTTTCACTGGGTGCTGCTGTTACATTGTGTGAGCACAGTGCCTGGCATAACTGAGTGTTGAAGATTCATATGGAGAAGTTCACCTACAGAAGCACAAAGGCCAATGTGTTATCCCCAGTGGAGTAGAGCCTGTGGGTGCACTCAGGGTAAGCCGTGGCTCTCCTGCTTCCAGGATGACAACCATCCTGTTAACTCTTTTACATGGTTTGGTTTTACATATGTTTTGTGCTATTTATATTTTTTAAAGCATACTCTGTTTACTCTTTGTGTCTGGTTTCTCTTATTATATATTACATTTTTAGATCATCCCTATTATCTCATGGAGCTGTAGGAGATGGGGAAGGGGGATATCCATAGTCTAATCTATTCTGCTGTAGATGGACATTTGGACAGTTGTTTCCAATTTAAAGCTACTACAGTACTGTTCTGAACATTCTGGTCATGTCCTTTGGTGAACATCTGTACACATTTCGTTAGATATCTTTATCCCCAAAAGAAGAATAGCTGGGTCGTTGGATTTACCTGTATTCATATGATTTCACTGCCAATATTCACAATGGTGGTTATGCCAGTGGATACTCATCAGTGTATGTGTGAGGTTCTACTCCTGTATCTCTGCTGGGCAGGTAGTAGACTACATTTCCCCTGGGTTGATGAAACCGAGCGCTGTCCAGACACTTATGTACGTTTCTGTGCTCTCTGAGTGGTCTGTCTTGTGAAGTGCCTGCCAGGCAACTGCCTTCTTAATGTCTATGCTGCTTTATTTTGTATGTTCGTCCCTTGTTGATTATGTGTATTAGAAATATCTCCTCCTCTGTGGCCTGACTTTAATTTTTGAATCAATCTTCAATCAACTGAAGTTTTTCATCTGAGTCTATTCCAATTTGTCCTTTTTTTTTTTTTTCATGGTCAGCATATGATTTTTAGTTCCTGTTTAAGAAACCATTGCCTATTCCCAGATGATAAAGATGTTTTCTTCTAGGAATACTCATTCTAAAAAGACTTTTTGTCACATTTAATAGCTGCTTCTGTGATACCTGCATTTGAGTTTCCATTTATTGAGAAAAACATAATAACAAGAAGCTTCAGTAAACTTTTAAATAAATTGGTAACTTATAAATATTACAGCAGTATCTGTAGACATTTGAGAAGTTGCAGGAGACTTTTTAGTTGATGTGGGGACCATGCCGTGTGCTGCCCACACATGTTATACACTTCCCAGAATGGTGAAGTCTTGAGGCTTGATTGTCAAGGACCTGAGAGTTGCTGCCAATTCTCTCTTAGCCTTGCTAACATCAGAAGCTGTGCCTGTCCATTCATTCCATGTTTACGAATACCTCCACACCAGGTAGTGTGCCACAAAGATTCCAGGAATACCACCCATATGGAGAAACAGGATCTCTCTTCTCTAGAAGAGCATAGGGTATAGTTAGAGGGAGTCAGTCATGTAAACAAATATATCCTGGTGTGCTTCTAGTGACCTGATGGAATTCGGTGTCTGAGATGGAGAGAGGTAGGAAGTGGTGGGCATCAGGAAAGCCATCTTAGAGAAAGTAGCCCTTGATTATCAGCCAGGTAGATGGATGGGTGATTTAAGATTTGTCTCAAATTTGACATCATGCTTCACAGAGCAGTAAAGTGAAACCTGTTCATTCTTACACATTGTTGGTAGGAGAATAAAATGGCACAGCCTCTTTAGAGAGCAATCTGGCAGCATCTGTGAAAATTTAAATCACGAATCCTTCTTGCATTTGTGCTAAACAGACACTGGGAAGACATTGTGTGTCAGACAAATGCCAAGTATAGAATAGCATGACCTAGCTCCTCCAATCCTGTTTGTTTATCCAACACACACAACACAACACACACACACACACACACCACTATTATAATATCAAAATATGGGAATAAACTAAATATCTATCAGTGGAAGAACAGTTAAATATATGATACATACAGGTGATGTAAAGCTAATAAAAGAAGCAGCCCTCTCCATTGTGCTAAGGAAGAGCAGTCCCCAGGATGTATTGAGTGAAAGCATCAAGGAGGAGGTCAGTTCCTACTACTTGCTCTCCTTCATGCTTCAGAAAGCAGAGCGGGGCAGGAACCAGATACTCCCTCCCCAGAAGGCTGCACCAGCAGTAGGTCACAGTGGTGGCTCTGCCATGACACAAAGGGACAGGCATGTTCTGATCGAATTTTTTTTTAACATGCAGTTTATTATCTACTCAATGGTTTTTTTTTTAATGTGTAATTTTTTAATTAAAAATTTTACTAATGGTCTCAGGATGTAGCTCAGTATAGAGTGTTTGCCAAGTATGCATAAGGCCCTGGGTTCAATCCCCAGAAGTACAAAAAAAAATTTCTTGTTTCTTTACTAAGTATTGTGTAATATCCTTGTTTGGATCCTGGGACTGAAACTGGACATTAGTGGAAAAACTGGTGATACCTGAAAAAAGTCTAATGTTGATTTATTCACTTCAACAAATGTCCCAAGACAATATAAGACCCCAGTCTATATTGAAGGGAACAAGATGAGATGTACAGCAACTCTGTACATCAGTCATCTTTGCAACTTTTCTGTAAATTGTTCCCAAGGAAAATGTTTATTAATATTTTTTTGCTTTTTTTTTAAACTCAAATTGCATCTGCAAAATTGTGTCTGAGAAGGAACCGATTTGGAAAGTTGTAGCTGATTCCCTCTCCTCCCATTTTGGTGTAGGTCGAAGAATTCCATCCACTGACGCCAACCCGCCATCTGGCGGTAAGGGCTTCAAGCTCCGCAGACAGCCGTCAGAGCCAAAGCGAAGCTGCTGCTGATGAGCCTCAGCCTCAGACTCGATGGTGAAGCAGGTGGTCCTGACAGTTAGCAGGAGGGCTGGGGGCCTGCTACCAGTGTCCACTTAGCCGCTCGAGTCTTCTTCATGCAAAAAGGACTCACAGAAATTGGCCGGTTCTGTTCTCCCCTTGAAGACTGCAGCAATGGTATTTCAGTCTGTGGACGTCCAGTATGTCAAGGATCTGTGGTGTCCAAAGGGACCGCATCATTGACTTTGACCTTGCTGAAGGGAGCACATCATTGTATGGATGGTGGAATTAAATTGCTGAGTAGTTTTGTAATCAGGATTTTATGTAACATTTGTAAAAAGGGAAAATTAGCACTTTCGTGGTTCTTGGGGGGGGGGCAAGATTATCATTTCCTTGGTTTCCCGTTACCACTGTTGGAGGGAGTTGTATCATTTAAATGTGGTAGGATATTGCAGGTAAAGGGACGGCAGTTACTGTTGGAAGCTGAAATGGTTCTGTCTAGGACAGATGGAGATACTCCATCTCTGCTGTCTCTGAAGCACTTTCTGTGAAGCATGTTAGCCCCAGATACATACAGAAAGCCAACACCATGGCAGTGGTTGCTGGCCCACCCTGGGTTTGCTTTTGACCCTGTCGCACATGTATCACTAAACACATCACTGGCGCCACTGTGGTGGTGGTAGAGAAGCACCTGGAATAAATGAACTGCGTATGTCCTAAATASGTTAGCAGCAGTTTAAAAAACAAGGAAGAGGAGAAAGTAATGTAAATGCTGTCAATTTTTTTATTTAATCCAAGTATTTTGGTGGGGAAAACAAGTATCTGTTGCTTAGCATATGTAAAGTTGTAGTCTGTATTTATGAGACCATTGCTTAAAGACTATAAATTATGTAAATACATTAATAAATTCTAAGTTTCATGCAGCACTCCATTTAATCTYGCACCCAGTCTTGTGATGCCCCCACCACTTTTCAGCCTGTCCACTGGAGACTGAGGCACATTTATGTTGTGCAGAGGCATAGATGTTTAGCTTACAGTCTTTCCAGGTTTCTGTGCTTTCCCTTCCGCCCACCCCTCTTCCCTCTACATCCCATCTGGAAATGATAATAAAGACATATGCCACTTCGATGAGCCTGACTAGTTCTTGCTGGCCTGTGGTAAAAGAGTGTGCTCTGAGCTCAAGTCATTTACCTGGTCTTGGTAATAAGTTTCTCTCGGCTTTCACAGTGACCTCAGACCAACTGGTTTAAGAGCACTTTTCTTGTTAACAATCTAGCTTATCTTTTCGTTTCCTTTATTTTCCCCTGCCTCTGTTAGTGGTTAACACTCTTTTCCCTCAGGGAGCCTAATGAGGTTTTTAATATGATCTAAAAATAAAGCACTGAAGTGCAGTTGGTGGAAATGTGCTCCTGGTCTAATTGGGCACCCTCCAACCTGAGTATTGTGCGAGAAGGAAATTTACAGGATTAAATAGGAAATGAAACAGCTTGAATTTCAAACTAAATTGTGTTTTCAGAGCTAGCCTTAAACTGAACAGTCAAAACTTTTGAAAATAATTGTTATTTCTTTGTGCCCCCCACTTGATATGGATAGGTTTTAATGGGAAAATTATAACTCGGATTAAGTAAAAAATGACTCCCTTTTCCCTCTTGTATGTCTTAAGCATTTGAAATTGCTTTATTCTTCTTGAAATCATATAGAAAGAATGCAGTTGGTAAAAATTCCAACACTGTTTTGTGTGAAATACACATGGACTCTTATCTCTCTAGCATTGCCTCCAACTCAGCATTAAATTAGCAAACTTGATACGAGAAGCCACATGACTCCTAGGGCTGGGCCCTTGCGACTGAAGGTGGCTTGATGTTACTTCATATATATCCAGGATGTCCAGCCACTGCCTTGGCCTGTCCCCAGCCTTCCCACTACCAGGCCTCTATCTCTACGACAACAAATAAAAACAAAGGTTGCCTGGCTGATTGCAGAAAAGGCAATGCGTGTGAGGCCTTTTTTTGTCTTATTTCACAGAAAGATGATGCAAATCCACCACCTTCACATTTTTTCCACCAAACCTGCCAGTAGATGCTGGTGAGCACACGGTGTCTTGGTGCACGGGTGAGGTCCTTTGAACCTCTTCTGAGTGCCTCTGATCTCGCTGTGATGTTCTCCATCTAGCCCAACTCGAGGCCATCTCTCCTGCCCTTTGCAGCTCTCTGTTTCTGTGAGTTTCTAGGGAATGATTCTGCCTGGTCACAGCCACATCTCACTAACGGACAAGCAGTGTGGGGCGTATGCTCAGGCATTTCTGGGGCCTCTTCTCCCTCATTTTCATCAGTCTCTCCAAAAAATTGACAGAGTGCTCTTTCACTTGTAGTACCTTTGTAATGCCTAACAGCAACAACAGGTTTCTATCACAGATCCATGACCCATGCTCAGTGAAAATGGGGAAAAGGTCTTCATTTTATATTGTTTGCTTCTAAAATGCAAAGGTAAATATTAGAGTCAGGAGCAGTGCTTTACTTTGAACACATTTCAGATTAACCAGACTAAGCAGTGATCCACCACATTCCATATTTCTTTATTTCTTATGAGAAAAATCTCATAAGATTTCAAAGGAATTAAGACATAGCCCATCTGTAAAAAACTATTTGGTTCCCTTATGACGCAGGGCCATTTTTAAAAACTTTGGGACTGAATAGAAGAGAGAAATCATTAATTAGCTGCAAGTGTGTATCGATTCCTTTCAGAGAAGTTGAAATAAGATCTTTGCAGGTGTCCAATCCTAGAAACCACTGGTCTCCAGATCTCTCCTTTTACATAAGTGTTTTTCTGATTCTGTGATAACTAATTATCATGTGGTGATTAAAAGAACATAAAGTAAGAGTATGATTAAGTAAGTGTCCTTCATTTCCAACTCTCTATAAGAAGTGATTGGGGAGAAGTATCTACTACAAGCCCTGTTGGTTCCAAATGAAACCTCTATCACCTGCTTGTCAGCCACAGTCAGGACAGGCCCTGCTCAGAGCAGCTGAGAGATTTGTTTCTTTTAGATTAACACATGTCCTTGTTCCCTATTTCTGATGTTTGAAGTGCCTGCTCTCATGTTCCTCTTTCCTGGGTGCCCACCCATGTCTGAAAGGATGAAGGCATATCAGAGGCTTGATCTCCCGGGCCAGGATCCTTCTTGGGGTTGTCAGTTCTCTTTACTTTTAAATATACAAAGCGAAAGAAAACTGCATTTAATTCGGAACTTCTCTTCAAGTATTCTATTTCTTGTCTCAAGAAGGAAATAGGCTGAGGAGAATTTCTAAAACCCTGGGAGATAGAGCAATGAAAATGGCCTTTGGACAGTGATCACATGGCTCTCCTGGCACTGTCAAACTGGAGTGTCTATTTTTCATGGCCTTGTGTTTCAGTAGGCAGGTTAGATTCAGATTATGCCATACTCTTTGGTACGTGGGTCTCCAAATTTGTACGTGTGTTCAAATTTGTGCTAAGAGTGAATTGCAAAAGAGGTCGTATAAATTCTATTTGGCACTTTTTCATTCATTCTTTCAGAACACACTGAAAATGTGATGCATGGGCTCTTAGAGTCTCATGCACACAATGTGTTGCATGTAACAGATGAGCCCACTAAACATACAGATGTCTTTGCAGGAGCCTGTGGAAGTGATGAGAGAGTCCTTCCTTCCTTCCAGAAAAAAGTTGTTGGGAACCCATTAGTGCTCCTCATGCCAGGTGCCTGCTTTAGAATGTTTGGAGGAGAGTGACAGACACAGCCCACTAACTCAGGCTGGCCCTCCTTGCTAAACCCAGAAAGTTGCATGGCAGTGACAAGCTAGATGGGAAAATCTTCAGTATTTAAATTTGTTTTAAAGAGAGGAACAACACAATTTTTGTTTATTGTTTGATTTCAAAGGAACTGCACCTCTTAATAGTTTTTAAAGGAAGAAATGGAATGTACCTTTGGGGATCACACTGTTAAATATACTTGACGTTAGCTTGGTTCATCAGAAAATTTTAAAACATTTTAAGGTTATCTTTAGAATATCCTGTGGTACTGTGATTTACAGAAAGGAAAAAAAAAAGTCCAAGCAACAAATGATCTAGGAGATAAGCAGTATACCCTGTAGTTTTAGAAAAGGGTGGTGGGGGTGAAATTTAGCCTGGGGCTTTAAGAAATGACCTCCGCAAATTTCTTTTGACAGCAGAGTTGCTTGTCTTGACTTCCAGTAATAGAAAACCAGGCAATTTGATTATCTGATTTGCAAGAAATGTTAATGGAATTCTGGGGCATTTGTCCTGTTTCATGTGCAAATGAAAGTCTAAAAATGTATTAGAAGAGTCCATTTTTCAGGAGCCTCCATTTCCTCCACCTAAGAGAATGATAAGTGATAGACCTGTTGTGATGAAGTCTCCTTTGACATCACTAGGAAGGTGAATAAATGGAACCAAGAAGCAGCACATTTCTCAGCTCATCCTTCAAGATTCTCTTAGCTTATAGGAAAATGATTTACTTTCCAAATCTAGAAGGACTTTCAGTAGCATAGATCAAGTTTAATTTGATGGTCTGTACCATCAGAAATAACTAATATCTGTGTTCTTTCCTTTCAGAGCATAATCAATTATAGCTATGCTAGAATATTTTTGGCTTCAAAACAAAAGGATTCAGAAGTTTAATTTTAAAAAGTCTCATGCCTTCCATCAATTCCTTTTGTTATGCTGAACATTTGAGATAGTAAGATTAGGCTATATCTACAGTAGGTGGTGAAGTCAACCATGATGTCTAACAGATTTTTTAAAAATTGTTTAATTCATTTTTGCAAGTTCATTTTTATATCTGTCTGGTGCCTCATCAAAATGCTTCATTATCCCAACAAACAAAATTGTGGTAGCTTTCAGGTGTTCAAGTACCAATTCTGACTGCCAATTGTAATGATTTTTTGAAGGAGTCTCTGTTTTTGTCTTTTTTTTTKGGGGGGGGGAGGTGTTTGTTTTTTCTTGATGGGACTGGGGATTGAACCCAGGATGTTCTCCCACTGAGCTGCATCCCTAGCCCTTTTTTTATTTTGAGACAGAGTCTCACTAAGTTGCCTAGGCTGGTCTTGAACTTGGGGTTCTCCTTCCTGAGCCTTCTGAGTCACTGGAATTTACAGGCATGCACCACTGCACCTAGTAGCTCCTAAAAATTTTTGAAGCAGCTTTTGAATTTATTTACTTCCTTTGTATATGAAGTTATTAGGTAGTTCATGAAGCTTATTCTTAACGTGGACCATGCATGTGTCAGAGAGATAAGTCAACTCAGTGAGGGAGAGTCTTGCGCAGCCGGCTAGTGTTGGTGGCTCCATTTTTAAACCATGTGTTGTTCTGTATAGACAGAGCTTTATTGCCCTGGGAAAGGGAAAAAAAAAAAAAATTCCCTACTCTCATCTGTCTCATCCATCGTTTTGCTTTATTAGTCRCTCACATAATCACCATTTGCCACTCTGACCTTAAGAGTTTTGTCTTTCCTTCCTCTGTGATCAAAGCAGACTTCTTGCCTTAGTTTCCTTCTCACTTTTTGGTGACCTGTCCCTTGGAGACCCTGCATTGCTCACCTTCCCAGCACATGACGTGCCTTCTCCTGCAGCCGGTCACAGTTGCAGCACCAGGCTGCACCCACTCCATCCAGCTGGGCAAGTCACGTCTATGCAGTCAGATGCCAGAGCTGACTTTAAGTAAGGACCTCCAGGATTTCCAGAAGGGGAGTGGGCAGCCCTAGCTTACAGTGGGAACTCAGCTGATTGGCAGAATGGTTTTTTGTCACTGGTGATCGCCTAAGTGTCAGAATTTCACAGAGCTTGTAATAGAGCATTTGTTAAAGTGTATAAAAGTGCAAGTCAAAGGTCTAGAAGAGAAACAGCTAGAGAGATGAGCCTAGACGTTAAAAAAAAAAAAAAAACTAAGCCATTATACCAGCAACTCATTTCTCCTAAAAATGTCATACTTTCTTAAGACCTGATGCAAGGAATAAAATATTTGTGCCTTTTACAATAGCATCTGCTATGGGGAAAAAATCAAATGCCTATAGTCTGGGCCTTTTTGTAGCACTGTAGAAGTCAGGTTGGGAGCCGTGGCTTCACACTGCATCTTGCACTGCCTGGGTACCTGTACTGGAATGTAAGGAGGATAATTTGCCAAGCTCATACGGATGTTTGAAGATGTTATTTTTACAATCTTAACCTTGGGCTGGACCTGAGTCTCTGTGACCATATGATGTCTGTACTGTTTGTAGAAGCTGATGAAAGAAAACTAGAATTTTTGCCTTTTGTTGTAAGGTCTTTCTTTTTATACTTATGCTGGTAGTGGACAGTTTGAAAATGCAGGTCAATTTGGCCTACTTTTAACTGTGCTGTTTTGGCCTGAGTACTCTATAATGCGCTTGTATAGAGTATGACATGCTAATCACTACGGAGTCTGTTGTAAGAAGGGTGTGAACATTTTGTTAATAAAATGCTGTGTTTACAGATGTACATATCTGCCTTCCGATGGTTTCTCTTCACAGTCCTACATATAACATGCATTCTTTTTTTTTTTTTTGAGAGAGAGAGAGAATTTTTATTTATATTTTTAGTTTTCGGCGGACACAACATCTTTGTTTGTATGTGGTGCTGAGGATGGAACCCGGGCCGCACGCATGCCAGGTGAGCGCGCTACCGCTTGAGCCACATCCCCATTCTTAACTAAGTGTTGTGACGTTGTTTCAGAGGAC